AGATATATTTTTCCATTTATTTTGGTCCTTTTTTTTTTTTTGCAAGGAAGATTAGCCCTGAGCTAACATCCAGTGCCAATCCTCCTCTTTTTGCTGAGGAAGATTGGCCCTGGGCTAACATCTGTGCCCATCTTCCTCTATTTTATATGGGATGCCACCACAGCATGGCTTGACAAACAGTGCGTCAGTGTGCACCTGGGATCCGAACCTGTGAACCCCAGGCTGCCGATGCAGAGCACGCGCACTTAACCACTTTGCCACCGGGCCATCCCTATTTTCGTTCTTTTTATTTCTCTCAGCAATGTTTTATAGTTTTCAGTGTATAGGTCTTGCCCATATTTTATTAGGTGTATCCATATTCGTATTTTTAAAGTTATTGTAAGTAGTAGTATTTTTCTTTTTTTGGTGAGGAAGATTAACCCTGAGCTGACATCTGTTGCCAATCTTCCTCTTTTTGCTTGAGGAAGATTAGCCCTGAGCTAACACCTGTGCCAATCTTTCCTCTGTTTTGTATGTGTGTTGCCACCAAAGCATGGCTTGAAGAGTGGTGTAGGTCCGTGCGCAGAATCCGAAACTCATGAACCCGGGCTGCCAAAGCGGATCGTGCTGAACTTAACCACTATGCTGCCGGGCCGGCCCCAGTAGTGTTACTTTTTTAATTCCAATTTCTGATTGTTTGTTGTTAGTATGTAGATATAAATTTGATTTTTGCATTTTGATCTTGTACACTACGAGCTTGCTAAACACACTTTTGAGTTAGTAGCTTTATTGTAGATTATTTAGGATTTTCTACACAGATGAACACATCACCTGCGAACAAGGAGAGTTTTACTTAAAAGTAATGGAAGAAAACATCCTTTCCTTGTTCTTATCTTAGAGGGGAAATGTTCAGTCTGTTACCATTAAGTATAATGCTAGCTGTCAGTTTTTCACTTGTTCTTCTCTGATTGAAGAAGTTAAATTTTGTCAAGTACTTTTTGTACACCTATTGAGATAATCATTTGGTTTTTCTTTTTTAGTTTATTAATGTGGTGACTTTCATTGACTGGTTTTCAAATGATAACTCAACCTTGCATTTCTAGGATAAAACCTACTTGGTCTTGATGTATTATCCTTTTTCCTTTTAACTTTTTTTTAATTTCCCTTTATTATCATCGTTTTTGTTTTGTTTTGTTTTGTTTTTTTGTGAGGAAGATCAGCCCTGAGCTAACATCCATGCTAATCCTCCTTTTTTTGCTGAGGAAGACCAGCTCTGAGCTAACATCTATTGCCAATCCTCCTCCTTTTTTTCCCCAAAGCTCCAGTAGATAGTTGTATGTCATAGTTGCACATCCTTCTAGTTGCTGCATGTGAGATGCCACCTCAGCATGGCCAGAGAAGCAGTGCGTTGCTGGGTGTCCAGGATCTGAACCCAGGCCGCCAGTAGCAGAGTGCGCACACTTAACCGCTAAGCCACGGGGCCGGCCCCAATATATTATCCTTTTTATATAATGTAGGAATAAATATGTTAAAATTTTGTTTAGGCTTTTTGAATCTACATTAATGAGGGATATTGGTCTGTAGTTTTATTTTCTTGTAGTATCTTTGGTTTTATATCAAAGTAATGCCGGCCTAATAGAATGAGCTGGGAACTATTCCCTCCCTTCAATTTTCTGGAAGAGTTTTTGCAGAATCAGTATTATTTCTTCCTTAAATTTGGTTTGGTTCAGTACAGTTCACCAGTGAAGCTATCTGGACCTGGAGTTTTTTTGTTGTTGTTTTTTGTTTTTTTGTAGTAAGGTTTTTAACTACAAATCCAATTTCTTTAATTGATATATGTCTATTTAAGTTATCTATCTCTTCTTGAGTGAGCTTTGGTAGTTTGTATCTTTTAATGGATTTGTCCATTTCATCTAAGTTATCAAGTTTACTGGCATTAAGATGTTCCCAATATTCCCTTATTATCATTTGGATGTCTGTAAAATCTGTAATGATGTGATTTCCCTCATTTCTGATTCTGATCATTTGTCTTCTTTTATCCTGATGAGGCTGACTTAACATCAATCTTCTCAGAAAGCTAGTGGTTTCATTTATTTTCTCTATTTTTTCCATTTAATTTCTTCTCTGAACTTGATTACTTCCTTTCTTCTGTTTACAATGGGTTTCATTTTTTCCTTTTTCTAGTATTTTAAGGTGGAAACTGAGTCATTCATTTATGGCTTTCATCTTTTCCAGTATAGGCATTTAGTGTTTTATATTTCCCTCCAAGTACTGCTTTGGAGGCATCTCACAAATTTAGATATGTTGTGTTTCCATTTTCATTGATTTCACAATACTTAATTTCCTTTTTGATTTTTTTTTGACCAATGGATTATTTAGAAGGATGTTATTTAGTTTCCAAATATTTGGGGATTGTCCAAATACTTTTCTATTATTGATTTCTAACAATTCTGTTGTGGACAAAGAATACATCTTACCTTTTAAATTTATTGAGATTTGTTTTATGACCCCAGAATATGACCTACCTTGGAAATGTTTTGCATACACTTAAAAAGAATGTGTATTCTGCCACTGTTGGGTGGAATGTTCTACAAATGTCAATTACATCAAGTTGGTAGATAGTGATGTTCAAGTCTATCTACTATATGCTTGGTGATTGTTTATCTCCTTGTTCTATTAATTATTAATAGAGGGGATTGAAATTTCCAACTACAATTGTGAATTTGTCTTTTTTTCCTTGCAATTCTATCAGTTTTTGCTTCAGGTATTTTGAAGCTCAGCTATTAGGTGCATAAACTTTTAGGATTACATCCTCTTGATAGATTGATCCCTTTATCATTATGAAATGGTCCTCTTTATCTCCGATAATTATTCTTTGTTCTGAAATATATTTTGTCTGATATTAATATAGCTCCTTCAGCTTTCTTTTGACTTGTGTTAGCCTGGTATATCTTTTTACATCCTTTTATTTTTAACCTATTTGTGTCTTTATATTTAAAGTGTGCTGAGTCTGGTATATTCTCCAAATTTGCTCTTCATAAGTGTCTTGTCTATTCTTGCCTTTTAGCATCTCCATATGTTATCCTAGAATTAAATTGTAAGATTTCAAAAAAAAAAGCTTATTGTGTTTTGATATGGAACATATTGAATATTGTGGGAAACTGAACTTATCTAACTCTATTGAGGAACGTTGAAGGATATGAATAATCATATGTGCTAGATACAGTGCCATGACCAACCATAGGAGGAGGTACTGACAAAGAATTGTGAAGAACAGAGTATCAGAGTAAGCCTGATAAAGACTTATGCATAACAGGAGCAAGCTCAATGTAACTACTGATGAAAATTGAATATCTGCCATTTACTAACAATAGGATGATTTATACCAACTGTAGGTTTAATTCCATATAGAGCTAAAAATCCATTAGAAATTTGTAGCTGGTTGCTGGCTACCTGCATGCTATATGGTGTTTTGTTGCTGTTGTTGTTCAACAATAAAATGAGCGAACTCTCTTTTATGAATGGGCTTGTTCCTTTGGATTTCAATTTCTTTCCTCATATACCCAGCAATATATAAATCACTTTGGGGAAAACTGGCATCTTTAATATTGAGTTTTCCAGCCAACAAATTTGATAAGTCCTTTAATTTATTTAAGCCTTTAATTTTATTCAGTAATGTTTTATAATCTTCTGTGTAGAGGTCTTGCACTTCATGATTGGATTTATTTTAGGTGTTTTATATTTTTGATGCTAATGTAAATGCTATCTTTAAATTTTCACACTGTTGCTGGTGTGTAGAATTAGTTTTAATATTAAAATTGTATAAACCAACTAAACTCCTCTATTTCTAATACTTAGTATATATTTTTTCTTTATACGCAATTGTATCATCTGCAAATAATGCCCATTTTACTTTTTCCTTTCCATTCCTTATGCCTATTATTTCTTTTTCTTTCCTCATTGCACTAGCTAGCTCCTCTAATAAAATGCTTAAAAAAAAAAAAAAGCATTGGTGGTTGTGACGTGTTAAACAAGTAGGTGCTAAATTTGAAGAGGGATTTTTATAGAAACCCATTATCAGATCAATGAGGTTGCCTGGGGGCTGTGACAGTGGAAGGACCAAATGGGAGGCCTCTAAGGTGGGAACTGTGAATCTTTGTTATCTGCATAAGTTCCATAGCTGTCACTATATAGAACTCCCTCTTCACTAAACTTCTGTGTGTCCCCAATATGATCTCTTGTCCTTCTCATGTCTTCATAAGGGCCAGTTGGAACAGCTTCCATGAGGAACCCCCAGAGTAGCTCAATGCATGAGATGTACCCGTAGGCCTTCTTTCCCAGGTCTGAATGGTTGATTATACCTGACGTCAGTGTTCTCAGCTCACTCTTCATAATGAAACCAGGAATTTTCCCATACAGGTTCCCACATCTCTGTCAGGTGTGCCCTCTGCCCTGCAGAAGTCCTTACCAGAGGGGCCCCATCATTTCACAATAGACAGTTAGGCCATGCAGGAAGGGGATCAGGAGGGTGGGAAATGTGAAGGAATCAAGTGGGAACTATGTGAACATGGGTAAACCATGTTTATCCATATAGATACCCTCATCCTTGCCATATATGCCCTCCTGCAGGGCACCTCCAGCAGGGGTCTTCATCTAAAGCTGGTCATGGAAGAATAGGTGAAACCACAGGAAGAAGAGCAGGAGATATTTTAGAAATATCAAGTTCTCAAATCCATGGCAGGCATGACTTCTCACTCCAAGAGTTTTCCTCTGTAAGTGTCCTCAGTTCCCAGGGAAAATAGTTGGGGCTGCAGGGCAGGGGTCAGAAAGGAACTGAAGGGACATTAGACAAGGTCTTTATGTGCAATCACCACAGTTTATATAAGTGTATGTAAAAAATAATAAAAGCATAATAAAATGTCACTTTAACATTCCAAGAACCAAGGCCACCAGGGTCAAAGACAGTAAAATGAACAATCATAGGAATGGGATATCAAAGCAGAGTGTCTGGACTGCAAAGCAAATTCAGATATGGCTTTGACATATTAGTCTTAGCATCCTGTTGCAGGAGGATAGAGAGGAAAGATAAAATGAACTAACATTAACTGAAAATGTGCTCTACATTTTACTTTTATTTACCAATAAGTAAAAATATTCAGATGGGTGAAGTAGGCTTGCCTGAAGTCACACAATCTGTGAGTAGTTAAGCCAGGATTAAAACCTAAGATCATCTGGATCAGTACCAAAGTCAGTCCACCATACCAAATTCCCAATGAGAGACAGTAAAGGGGAGACCTCGTCAAGAAACATCAATTTCAAGGTCCAGGATCTTTCCAGAGATACAAGTCAACTTACTAAGCTTGAGACAGGAAAACACATAAATATCACTTTTCTTGAATCTGATCAACCTATCTTTCCATCTTTGTACAAGAATTTTACATGTAACTTTATGGGTCATGCTATATAATGCAGTTTCTAGGAACTGATTTTTTTTTTTTTTTACTCAAGCTTTCTTCATGTCCTTTATAGGGAACTACTGTATGGTCAAAATTATGCCAAACTAATATTAGCAAGTCCACAATGTCTGGTTATTGTTATGTAGTATAATAAGGAACATGTAACTTGACAATATTCTACATATATAATTTCCCCTATTGACCATTCAGTTCATAACTTTAAAAGCTTTACATGGCACCTTGAAAGTGTCCCTCACTTATATAATTACTTTCCATCATCTTTACTGAAAGAATTAGGTATCACCACACTACAGACATTAATTTTCTTGTAAAATTTTAACTATAAAGATGTCTTCCACAAACTTATCAAATTAATTAGGTTTATAGTATTTGTTAAGGCTTGAGCTAATACTGAAGGCTTTTCTGTGTTCAGGTAATTATGATTTTACACTCTTATGAATTCTATGATGTACAGTGAGTTGTGACTTCTGGATGAAGGCTTTCCCACATACAGCACACTGATAGGGTCTTTCCCCAGTATGAATTCTTTGATGTAAAACAAGGTCTGACTTCTGGGAAAAGGCTTTTCCACATTCAGCACATATGTAAGGTTTCTCTCCTGTATGAATTCGCTGATGTCCTGGGAGGTGGGACTTCTGAGAGAAGGCTTTCCCACATTCAGTACATATATAAGGTTTTTCTCCTGTGTGAATTCTCTGATGTCCAATAAGATGTGATTTCTGACAGAAGGCTTTCCCACATTCACTGCATTTATAGGGTTTCTCTCCAGTGTGTGTTCTCTGATGTATGATGAGCTGTGACTTCCGGGAGAAGGTTTTCCCACAGTCAGTACATTCATAAGGTTTCTCCCCAGTATGAATTAACTGATGTGTAATGAGTTCTGTTTTCCTGCTGAAGGCTTCCTCACACTGAGCACATTTGTAGGGTTTCTCCCCAGTGTGAATTCTTTTATGTATAATGAGGTGGGACTTCTCACAGAAGGCTTTCCCACATTCAGTACATTCATATGGCTTCTCTCCAGTATGAGCTCTATGATGTATAATCAGCTGTGACTTCTGGGAGAAGGCCTTACCACATTCTCTACATTCATAAGGTTTCTCTCCGGTGTGAATTCTCTGATGTATAATGAGGGGTGATTTCTGGGAGAAGGCTTTTCCACATTCACTACATTCATATGGTTTTTCCCCAGTGTGAACTCTCTGATGTATAATGAGGGATGATTTTTGAGAGAAGGCTTTTCCACATTCCGAACATTCATAAGGTTTCTCCCCAGTATGAGTTCTCTGATGTACAATGAGATGAAATTTCTCGCTAAAGGCTTTCCCACATGCCCCACAATCATATGGTTTCTTTCCAGTATGAATTCGTTGATGTACAATGAGCTGTGACTTCTTAGCAAAGGCTTTTCCACATGTAATACATACACAGGTTTTTTCCTTAGTTTCAACATTCTGATATTGAATAAGGGATTGTTTATTGCTGAAAATGTTCCCACATTGATTATTATCACAGGGTATTACTCCATTGTGAATTTTCTCAAGATTAGAATTGGACACACCATGGCTAGATGATTTTTCATATCCAAAACTCTCATCAGGGCTTTTTCTTGAATTGCCCTTATTACAACTAGGTAGGTCAATGTTAGATTTCAAGGTTTTTTTAAATGTATCATACTTATGGAGTCTTTGTCTTGAAACATCTGGCTGTATGCACTCTTGAAATATTTTTCCCAATGCATTATATTTATGGTCTGACACCACAGTCACTGTTTTGTTGTTGATGACTGTTACTTGCCTGAAAAGTTTGTCTTGGTTTTCCTGATATCTCTGCAGCTGGCCATCACCTTGACAGAATTTTAAAATGGAGTACAATGAACCATCCTTTGTGACTCCTTTCAGTATCTCATTATGGAAGGAAACAGAACCCAAAATACATGATTGGGGGTTGTCAAGGTTACTCTTCCTGTCTAAAGGAAAGAAAGATAAAATAAAACATTCATAAAGCAGTATTAACAGAACACAGAGAAATGGAACAATGATTGATCCAACGTAGTTGATGAACTCAGAAAACAGGGATGGAGACAGGTCACCTTGTAAGATAGTATAGCATATAGTATGATTGGGTGAATGAATAGACAAGGACGCTAAAGAGAAATATTCATGGGAAAACTAGACCTGAAAGCGATAGAAAAGTGCCTGGGTTATTATCACTCTAATCTTGGATTATTCTTCTAGAATCTTCCCATTTCCCCTGCTTTCTGAATGGAGATGCTTTTCACCTTTTGAATTCATTTATTTTATAAATCATTTGCTATATATATACTTAACTACTATTATTCTGCCACCGCTATCCAAAGAAACAAGGTCTCTTCTGTACTCAAAATACTTTAATTCTCCTCATTCTACTTTCCTAATTAACAACTAACACAAACAACAGAAAAATCCAAGATCCTGCTATGGATTCAGTATCAGATTCACACCAAGAATCCAAGCTTGAATTCCACTACTCCCTATAAATACCCTCTATACATATCAAATAAAACTAGCAAAGTTCTCCTAGAAAAGCCATATTTCCCAAATCCAAGGTTTTGTTTATATACTCTCTCCTCCACCAACAGTTTGCCTTCACCCTCCTCCTTCAGCATTATCAATACTTAATATATCTTTCAAAACAGCTACAGCTGCATGCTCAGAAAAATGCATTCTCAAATTATGTTGCATCTCTTTAGACTCTAATTTTCTCTGAACTTTTAAAAACAGTAACTGTATTTGACATTCAATTTTATAAAGCCATGTATCTGGAGGTCTTACCTTCTATGTTCTTGGAATGAATTTACCTTCTATTGCCTATTAAGCTTTTTCAAAAAAGGCAGTATATATATATAGAGAGAGAGAGAGAAGATCACTAAGAAATAGCTTTCTCCTATAAAGGCTCACAATTATTTAATTGATTAATTATTTGCTGAATACCTACTAAATTCTCAGCATAGGAACAAAGTGGAATAAGAGATTTCAATAAGGATAGAAACATAAGCCTCAGGAACCGATCAATTAAAAAAACAAAAACTGATATTTCACTTCCCTTGTCTCCCATCTGCCTGATTTCCATCTGGATAGATCCAATTTGATAGGTCTCTCTTTATGATCCATGGATCTTCTCCTTGTTCCAACTTGGAGATGACATCTGGTTTGGAAACTGGATACCCTATTAAATGGAAATCAGAGGAAGTGGGACTGACTGCACTGAAGGAAGAAGAGACAGTGTAGTTTAAAGAGGTCTAAAATGAAGCAGTCCAGTTGGCCCTCGGCAAAATAAAGACTTCCATTTGGGAAGGTATAAAGATCATTATATATATTAGGAACCATCTAACCATAGCAACTGATAAGGAAAGGTACTTGACTGGACAAGTCTGAGTTACACAGGGAGCCATTCTTACCCATTGAGACCAGGTGGCTGTAGTTCTCCAGCATCACATCCTTGTACAGGGTCCTCTGAGCAGGGTCCAGTTGCTGCCACTCCTCCTGGGTGAAATCCACAGCTACATCCTTGAACGACACTAACCCCTGCAACAGTATATTCCTGTTCAATCTGAAGTGATTATTCTCATAATTTCTACTATAGTATGTAAAACTATACCTACACCTCATTTCATATCATAGTATTTGGGAGAAACAATGTAAAATTCTGTCTTTAGCCAGAAGAGCCAGACAGATCAGGAAAACAGAAGAAGTAAATCATAAAATGCCTACCCAATACAAATAATAATTTAATAAATGATAAGGGCAGCATTCATATAACTGGGAAGAAGACAGATTATTCAATGAATAGTACTGACACAACTGGATAGTCAAGAGGAAAAGAATAACATTGAATCCATATGTTATAGACTGAATTGTATCCCCTGAAAATTCCTACATTCAAGTCCTAACCCCTAATACCTCAGAATGTGACTTTATTTGGAAATAGGGTCATTGCAGATGTAATTAGTTATCTGAAGTCATCAGGGTGGACCCTAATCCAATATGACTGATGTCCATATCAAAAGGAGAAACGTGAACAGAGAGACAGACACATAGAGGAAAGATGATATGAAGAGACATGGGGATAAGATGGTCATCTACAAGCCAAGAAGAAAGGCCTGGAACAGATCCTTCCCTCACAGCCCTCTGAAGGAACCAACCCTGCTGACACCTTGAGTTTTGGCTTCTAGCCTCCAGCACTATGAGAGAATAAATTTCTGTTGTTTAATCCACCTACTTTGTGGTACTTTGTTACAGCAGCCCTAGCAAACTAATACACCATATCTTATGTCTTAGAAAATAGAAAACATACATTCTGGAGGGAGGAAAAATTTAAACTCTAAAAAATACCCAAGACCATAAAAGTTACAAAACAAAACATGGGAGAACTTTTATTAAAAATTATAGAGCAGAAAAGTCCTTTTAAAGTACAACATTAAAAAAAGAGAAAAGCCACATTTAGAGAATCACAGAACATCAGGGTTCTTGAAGATCATAATCTAATCCCCTCATTTTGTAGGAAAATAATCTTAGCTTCTCCTAAATCTAACAGTTCTCCTATATATATGCAATAGCTAGTAATATAATGAAATACATCAATTACAATAGCAATACTGAAGAACACACTTAGCAAGAAATGTGCAGGAAACATTCATGAAAAAAATCACAACAAATTATTGACATGGCATTAATATAAAAGACTCGGGTAAGTGTACAGCCATAAGATGTTTCTGGAGGGAAAACTATTTTAATTATCACCACTATGTTCACAATAGTTGTCATCTAATAGTGGAATCTGAGTGATTTATATTATTCTAAACTATTTTTCAGGTTTTTTCCTAAATATTCCATTATTATCAAATATTGCTTTCAGAATAAGACAAATTAAATACTGTTTCAAATTTCAACATTCCCCTGCTTAAAAGCCTCCTTTGGTTCCACCCTTGCATACACAGTCTCATCTCAGTCATCTCAATCTTAAGATTTCTCTCATCCCACACCAAGTCCCATATTCACACCATCAAGCTGCCAAGCATTTAGTTTGTCCTCATAACAACCCTATGGATTTTTCCACTTTACATATGAGAAAACAGGATTACAGTGTTTAAGGAACTACTTGCCAGAGGTTACATACTGAACATATGATTAATTAACTCTCAGATTAAAAAGCAGGTATTCTCACTTGATGCTTGGGTTCTTGACCACTGCACTCCACACTGCCTGCTTGATATTGCAAACAGGATCTTTTACATTTTATTGCTTTAATACCACCCTTAGGCACACCTTCCATGAAACACTCTCCACTTTAGTTTCCCTCAGTGCTCAGCCATCCTAAAATCTCTGCCCTTTCTACTTTTGCAAATGCTGTTTCCCACCCCCACCCTACTTCCCTCATGATCCAAAGTTAAATAATATTTTAAGCCTATTTTCAACTTCCTTACAAAGCTGGTTGCTCCCCCCTCTCTGCTATAATGCTCTCATGTCTATTATAGAGCTTTTGTGTGTCAATGTTGTTTCCACATCCGTTTACCCCATTTCTCTCTGCATTCTTCCCAGGAAAAGACTACGCCTAAATCTGCTTGAGGTATTTCACGGCTAGCCAGTGCCTGTGACATATATTGGGTACTCAAGAAATGTTTGCTAAAAAGGAATGAATGAAGATTATAGAAAATAAAATTTATGTTTAGTTAAAAATAGTTTTGTGCATTAGTCAATCATATTCTTCTGATCTAAAGAACATGAGAAAGATAAATGTGGAATGCAGAAGAAATCCATTCTGATAAGAAAATTAATATACGTAATTCTAACTTCTGATTTTACTTTATTAATGATAATTGAATGCTTCAATATACTAAATATGTATACATTTTGTTAATTTTGAGTAAAATATAGTGCATAATCAGTGAAAAATTGTACTTTTATCAGCTATACACAATTTTTACAGCTTGGGTGACTGGGAGAATGGAAGAGATGGAGGAGAGGGAAGGGGAGTAGGCGTTAGAGAGAGAAAAGAAGAATAGATATGTGCAAAAATGATTACTTCACTTCTGGACAGTACGGAAAAAATATAAATACCTTTTCCTAAAGGAACAAGCGTATCATTGGTTAATTACCCATGGTAGTTGGATTTATTGGGCTAATAAAAAACCCATTTTCATTCTCTAATGCAGCTCTAACAGAAATATAAAGCTAACCAGATAGATAATTTTAAATTTTCTAGTAGCCACATTCAAAGGATTATTTTCAATAATATATATTTGTCCCATATATCTAAAATATCATTTCAACATGTAATTAATCTTTAAAAATTATTATTCGTTGTTGGAATTACATCTTCAAAATCCAGTATATACTTTACACTTCCAGCACATTTCAATTCAGACTAGCCAATTTCAAGTGCTCAAGAACCACATGTGGCTGGTGGCTCTGTATTGGACAGCACAGCTCTAAAGCTACTGACATCCAAGAAGGAAAAACACCTATCTTTTCACAATAGAACTCATTTGTTAAGCGCTACTGTAAAATATACATAAGAACTCCTAATGCAAAAGCTGATTTCAAGATTTGACAATAATAATGATAACATAATAATAACAGCTAATACTAAATATAGAACACACCATCCCCAGTTACAGTTCCAAGCATGGTTTTTTACTCACTTAATTCCCACAACAACCCTATGAGGATTATAATCTCCATTTTACAGATGAGGAAACAATCCCAGTGAACCAGGCCACAAGGAAATATTACGCATCTGCTAAAATAATAAAGCAGAATTCTATGTACTGGCATGGGAAGATATTCAAAATGTACAGAAAAATCTTTATACCGGACAGTAAAGTTAAAAACCAAGCTGCAGAACAGAATGTTTACTGTAACATTATTTTTCCAAAGGAAAAGCACAAGAAAATAAGAGACACTCTTACACATTTGTTCTTTCGCATATACACACTTAATTGCAGTTATATTGAAAACGGTTTGGAAGGTTAGAAACAGTGGTTAACACTGATAAACTCAGGAGGAGGGGAGTTTAAATTAAAAAGTGTCTCAGTTTTTAAATTTTTATCTTTTTATACAGTTTAAAATTTGTATACCACGTATATAGCGAATGTTGGCAGGAAGAAAAAATAATACGGACTGTTAAAAATGGCAGAGCAGAGACGGAACTGGCCTTGAGCTGGAAAGTAATCCTATAAACTCTGAGACCACAGCACAGGGTTCACAGCATCAGGCACCGCCGTTCTCCAAAGCTTTGCCAGATAATTATAATTTAAGAACTGCCTTTTGAGAGAAATATATATTTTGAAAGACCATTAAAAATGTACCCATAATTAAGTTATCCAGATTTTACCAGTGGATAAAGCTGGACAATGGGAAGCCTCTGTAATCAATCTGGTCCTCTAAACAGAGGTCAAAAAACTTGTTCAGTAAAGTATATATTTTCAGCATTTCAGGCCATATAGTCTCTGTTGTACTTATCCAACTCTGCTGTTGTAGCACGAAAACAGCCATAGACAATACATAAAAAATGGCATGAATATGCTGCCAATAAAACTTTCTTTATAAAACTGTTGGAAAACTGGATTGGTCCATAGACAACAGTTTGATGACTGCAGCTGAAAGGATCAAGTTCAAGGAGTTTGGCCATGACATTATGATACCTTCTCTCTAAAAGAGATCATTTTATGATACGGCTAGAACAAATCTACTGTTGCATTTACCACAGGAGTGTTGGTGAGAACACTGTGTACTCCATCACCTAGAGAAAGACCCAAAAAGGATATCTGTTTCAGATTTATATGGCAAGAAATAATTCCTTCCCGTGGGAAATTTATCTACTTTCTCTTTAGAGGATTGCAAATCATGTAACTGAGGATGTCTGCAAAAAAGATCAGAAAAATTAGTACATCAACTTTTAAAGATGATTTCAGGCCAGGTTATCTACATATTACCTAGAAACTCTTTTCAGGTTTTGATCTTTATTTTGGCTACCTTTTCCCTAATCCAAATTTTAGCTATTTGCACTATTCCATTTGATTGTATGGAAAACCAAGGAGAAAATTTTAAAAATTAAAAATAAAAGCAACTCACCAGGGACTTCATCATTTTCTGCTCTTTTCTAAAATGGCAGATGCCTAAAAAAGCAAAACTGGTGATCAGGACATTTTCACAGACCAGACCCAGACTGCAGCTTCCACATTCACCAGCCTAGAAACAACTACCACCAGAAGTCAGGTAGAGGACAGGCCAACCTGTGGGGGAAGGTCGTTTTGTCCTTACAGAAGGATTAGCAGGCACCATGTGAAGGAAGTCTTCTTGTCACTACACTATGATCACAGAGAACTTGGAGGAAGATTTTAATCGTATAGATGCAAAGAGATGTTTCATGTTGATTTACTAACAACTTATTTTTCCTCTATGAACCAGCAATTCTATTTGTAGAATGTTTTCATAAGGCAACAAACATGGATACATATATATATATATAGATTCAACTACAGATAGAGTTCCCTGGCAATAAGAATGGCAATGAGCAAATGGAACACTGAGGAATGTATTCCCTTATTCCCCAGAAAGAACCAGCAGCTGAATTCCAATAATTTCCCAAGAGCTCTCTTATATTTTCCCTCAACTCAGCAAACTCTCCTGCCAATCAATATTCATGGACCAAAATGTTAAAATTTTAAAATGTTTTCCGTTCAAATTTTTATTGCTGATTTTCAACAGTGCAGTTGTCTGCACATAAAAACGGTGATAGGTTGGAACCACCGATACAAGGGAATATACTGCAAAGGAGGATGGTACATACCTGGTAAATTTTTCTCAGTTCCAGGAGGAGTCATGCAGACAAGACTGAACTGGGTCAGAGGGAGTG